ATTTCCTTGTATAAAGGTAAATGCCTTTCTTTTCAATTGCTTACATTAGTATTCAATTTAACATCTTTGTGTTCATGGTTCTCATCTATCCAATTTACATCTGATAACAATATTCTCACAAATTCCGATGTATGCGAATCAACATCTCTTTAAATGTTTGAATAATTAGAAAAAACCATACCCACTTCCTAATAAATATAAGCTTGTCAAATTTTACTGCTGGTTTTTGTTTTTTGATATAGCGGAGACGAATAAACCCTTTTTCATACGAGTTGGTCCCACGCAACACAAATAATCCATTGTACTATCCATTTTTCATACGAGTTGGTCCCACGCAACACAAATAATCCATTGGACTATCCACCGAAGAAAAATTTCACGACAGGAACTTCATTTCTAATATATGCCTAATCCCGAATAGCTCCAATTAAAGGAATATCTATACCAAGACTCGAATTGCTATTAGTATTAATTGGAGTAAGAGCCGCACATTTTGTATTAAAACAATTAGAATTGAAAGATACACCGGCAACCCTATGGTCGGATTCAAAATGTGTTTTATTTTGGATCAAAAATTATTCTAAACTACTTCCTCGATTTGTTCAAAATAGGGTTGAAGAAATTCGAAAGGCAAACTTTACCTTTCGATATATATCAAGTGAGCACAATCTCGTAGACGTAACAACCAGAGGAATGTCACCAGCTAAACTTCGAAATTGTGAATCATGGTGGAAAGGCCCAAATTGGCTAACAGAGACAAAAACTAAATGGCCGCAATGGAGATTCAGTTATGCAGGAGAAGAATTCAGTAGAGCTATTACGGCAACGATTACAAAAGTGAAACGAATTATTGAATCAAAGAATTTTCACTTCATAGATGCAAGTCGTTTTAGCAAATGGACTAGATTACTGAAAACCACTTTATGGGCTCTAAAATTCATCAAGCTACGTCTCAAAGGAAAAATACTGTGGTTGCAATCGATATCTCCAGATAAAGATTCTATGACAAAGCTAATTATGATAAAGCGGAGTGGATATTGATCAAGCAAGCACAATCTGACGAAATAAACGAGCAACGAATAAACAGTTGGAATTTATACTACGATAAAACTGACAACTTATGGCGATCAAAAAGTCGTCTCGAAAACGCAGATTTAGATACGGAAAGTAAATTTCCTATTTATTTACCAAATCGCAATCACATTACTAAACTTACTATCAAGCATAAGCATAAAGAGCTTTACCATGCAGGAATTGGACACACACTGTGTGAATTAAGATAAAAGTTTTGGATACCAAGCGGTAGATCTGCAGTAAACCGAATCATAAATGAATGCATGGCATGTAAACGATGGAAAGCAAAGCTATTCAAATTACCGTTAATGCCAAATCTACCAGAGTCCCGCGTTAAAAAATCAAAAATCTTTGAACAGGTCGGTCTTGATTATTTGGGACCACTTTCAATTAAGAATGACACTGGAATAGTCAAAAGGTGGATAGCTCTGTTCACCTGCTTTACTACAAGAACAGTTCACTTAGAACCGGTAGAAAACTTGTCAGCTGAAATGTTCATGCATATATTCCGTAGATTTGCATCGTGACGAGGATATCCTAAACTTGTTCTAAGCGACAATGTTAGTCAATTCCAACTTTTGTTCAGAACTATCATGGACCAAAACAAATTTTTTCGCTTCAAAAGGAATGATATGGAAAAATATTAAACCCAAAGCACCATGGACCGGAGGAGTTCATGAAAGAATGATTGGATTAACGAAAGAAGCGCTCAAAAGAGCAATAGGTAGAAAACTTTTGTGGGAAAGAGAATTCGTCACACTAACAGTAGAAATTGAAGGAATACTTAATACCCGACCATCAACTTACTTAAATTTTGATGATTACAAAATCATAAGGCCTATTGATTTTATTACACCATATGTCTCATTAGATATACCAACAAATGAAGATAGTATACAAGATGAGTTCACACTTCACCCACTTAGTCAACCATTAGACGTATTTTGGGAAATTTGGAAAAACGAATATCTGAGTAGTCTTAGAGAACGTACCCAGAGAGAAATAGCATCGCCTAAAAGAGTGGAAAAAAGAACTTCGCGTCGCGGTGAAATAGTATTATTAAATGAATCTGGACTACCAAGAGGAATATGGGAGCTAGTAAAGGTTCAAGAGCTTAATATTGGAAAGGATGGATGAATTAGGAGTGTAATGGTGCAAACCCCCAATGGAAAACTCCTCAAACGACCAATTAACTTACTTTATCCTCTAGAAGTAAAAGAAGAGGACAGTGAAGAAGTCAGAACAACGACAAAGGATAAACCAAAAGAGGAACCAATTGCTCTCCGAACTAGAGGAACACAAAGGGCGCGAGAACTTATTAAATCAAGTATTACAACAAAAAATTTACTATTAATTACTACTATTTTTTCACTATTTCTACCAATTTTTTCGAATGAAAACTGCAAATGGATTTCTGAAATACGTTTAATTTCCCACAGAAATGGAATTGCGATGATCAATTCACTACAAAGTTCACGATAAATGAGATAGCGATTTATACCAAAACTCATGTAAAGATACCTGCCCTCAAGTGTAGTAATATCGCCCGCACAGTATGTACTAAAGCTTTCCTAAGAATTTCTCTATCAGTGTGGTGGGTTTTTTCTGAATCGTGGAGTGTGATGTCGACCAATAGCCAAATATCACCAGTATTGTCGATCGGCTT